GATTATCTTCTAACTCTTCTCTGCCCTCTTTGAACCGCTTTATCCACTCAATACTTGCGTGCGTCTTGGCGACTGATGCTAGTAAACTTCGTAATATCACCAAGACTCCATCCGAATTTTACCATAAATTCGATATTGGCTCGAACTTTGATCGTTGTTCTAGAGACATTCAACATATATAGACTTATTTCTGATGAAATATTTTAAATGTCTTACCAAGGAGCGCAATCGTTCTAATTGTTTATTTAAGATGGTAATTGGAGACAGACTCCTGGACAACTCAGTCCTGGTGTCTCGAATGAAACCTTAGCACGTAGTAGGAAGCTAGTCCAATTAAACTGAGCTAATGGTGGATCCAAAATGGCGACCAACTTTAACAAAATGATTGGATTTGTTTGAAACTCTTAACCGCCATTTTGAATTTTGAAAATCTGACATCAGATTCGTAATCAGCAACGCCCCCCCAGAAACCTACTGGAAACGTCTTTTAACCCTTGACAATGTTTAAAACGTTCAGTATCAACGTTTTAATTTTAGTACTGTTTTTTTTTTTAATTTGATCGCCATATTAGATCCGCCATTTTGAATTAAAAAAAATTGACTTCATATTCGTAGTCGGCGACCCCAAAAACTCTCGAGTGCCGGGTTTCGAACAAATCCAATCATTAAACAAGTAAGAAAGTCTAAGTTCGGGTGGAGCCGAACATTAAATACCCGGCGCAAGTATTAAATATATATTTTTTCACCTTTCCGAAAGCTACCGCTAGATGGTAAGCGTAAATTAGCGTCCTTAAATTTAGAAATATTGAAGTTTCAAGCATTTCTGAAATTTACCGTTATATGAAAAGCGGCCGTAATTTTAGTCCGATTTCAATAATTTTCAACATTTTGCTTTTATGTGGCAAGCGCAATAAAAATACCGAGTTTGGTACAAATTGGTAGAACGGTTACCGATATACATATATGTATGTGATCATAAATGGTCTGTGCCACGCCCATTTTCCAAAATTTTACCATAAACGTATTTCTTTAATATTTACTAATTAGCTTTAATATTTACTGATTTATCGAAGATTTTGTATTTCTCTAAATTACCGTTATATTTAATATTCTTATTTTTCGTCTGAAAATTATTGTAAATATCAATTTTGAGTGAATTATCTTCAGTAGTTACTAAAATATCGAAGTTTTCTTATTTCTGGAAATTACCGTTATATGGGAAGTGGGCGTGGTTACAGTCCGATTTCGCCCATTTTCAATACCAACCTACCTTGGATTAACCTACATACCAAATTTTGTTGAGATATCTCAATTTTTGCTCGAGTTACACGGACGGACGGACAGACGGACAGACAGACATGGCTTAATCGATTTCTCTATTCATTCTGAGCATTTATGTATACATTTGTTTATATCTATCTCGATTCGTTTTGGCTGTTACAAACAACCGTTATGTGAACAAAATTAATATACCCTTGTGCACAAGTGCGCTCGGGTATAAAAAAATGGACCGGAATTTTGAATTTCGGAAAACTGACTTCAGATTCGTAATTAGCAACCCCAGAAACCCCCTGGTAACGAGTTCCAACCCACGAAAATGCGTAAAGCGTTCAGTATCAACGTTTTAATTTTACTAGTGTCTTTTCGAGAGCATATTTTCGGGCACTAGACGCACATTCTAACTGCACAAGACAGGTATGTAATTAAGGGAATGTTCCCCAATTATACCAGAGTAATTATTTGTAAAAAACAAATTTTTAGCTGCATTTTAACATGTCAAGAATATAAAAAAATTTAGAACATCAGCGTTTTTATAAAAAACCGACAACCGCGACCTCTAAGAAAATTTTTTTTCAAAATAAAAAAACACGTTTCTCTTTTTTTTTATCACAAATAACAATAATTTGAGGTAGCGTTTATGAATTTCCAAAAAAAAATTTTTTTGAACCACTTTAATACATATATATATACAAAGGTAGGTAAAATTTTCAGTATGTTTGGAAGGCACCACGCCCCCTTTTCTAATAGCCTCAATATTTCTTCATTAGTATGGGACTGATTTCAAAGGAGTGTGACCACAAACACCGTGACACGAGATTTGTAGATATTAGATAAAGGTAAGTTAACATCGATATACTCTATATTGACGTGGCCCGATGGGGAAAGCAGGCAAACCTACATGATCTATTGGGCGAGAAAGTTTATATCTAGGTATGAACATGAAAATAGTTACCACCTATTAAAAATGAAATTCATAAAAATTACTTACTATAATAATGGTATCAATCGAAATGGTTTTGAAAAGGCTTTGAGCATGTGGGAGCGTTGCCACCTGTGTAAAAAATCTAATTCAATGAGTTAAGAAAGAGGTTTGAGAAGGTTGTAATTCGAAAATATTTTCCAGGTGGCTGCCACTGGCTTAAAAATATTAAACTAGAATTATTGAATACGTTCAATGAGCTATTACAATATGGGTGTCAATGGAAATGGCTGACCTAAAAGGGCTTCATTTCTGAAATACATGCATGAGGGTTGCTACCATTTTAAAAAGCCAAATTCAACTTAAATAAAGGGTACCACGCAATTTTAATATGTTCTAGGGTATTCTATCCCCAAGAATGTTAACAATCCCAGGATTTCGCTATACAAAAATTACTTATCCGGATTTCGAGATTTTTGGGGGTTTCGGCTTTATCACAATTTTTGCCTTTTGCACTAGGGTCACCGTTCTCAGCAGTCAAACAATTAAACGACACAGATTCATTATAGCCAAATTTGGTCTTACGCGGAGCATACTGAAGCTGCGTAAAAGAATCTGTAGTTTAATGTTAAAATATTTTTATAGTATTCTTAAATATCTATGTTAAAGTGGTCCAAAAATGTATGTGAAAAAATAATGTGGCATTTTTAATGCCGGGGGTGGCGGATTGTTCTATTCCGAAAAAATATACTCGTACTTTCTTATTTTGAAGTAGAAAAAATTTAGGGAGTGCACAACGCGCTCAAAGTTTTCCATGTATTTGATGTGGGGGAAAAACAAGTTTTCGTAGAAATAGTGTAGAATTCTTGAAAATCGATATTTTCCGATCAGAGGACTTTGCTTATCTTCAGAAGATTCCCAATAATAATACCCAATTGTTTCTTTGACCATTTTTTCATGGTAGCTATATTTTATAGGTCCTCCAAAACCCCCAGCAAATGCAATGTGGGGACAAATAAAAAATCTTTAATATTAAAAAATGGTTAAATAAACAATTGGATATTAACATTGGAAGTCTCCTGAAGATTACCACAGGTTTCCGATCAAAAAATATTGATTTTCAAGAAGGGCACTACCTAAATATTTTTTGATTTTAAAATAAAACAAGTAAGAGCAGGGCTGTCTTCGGCTATGCCGAAGGCTTCATACATTTCAAGAACATCTGGAAATTTTACTTTAACAGATTACTGCATCTAAGAAAATTTGTATATACACAGCATACATATGTAGATAGAGGAGATACATATATAAAAAATCATATCTAAACAATCAGAGGTATGGAAAATATATTTATATAGCACCAATCTAAGGGATTTTCACTGCTGTGTGATCGGTATGTAACACAATCTAATGAGTTTGACTTCCTACATAAAGGAGATATATTGCAAAAACTGGTATCTGACCAATCAGTGGCATAGGAGATAAAGCTTATACATCATAGATTTTGACGATTTTCTAAGTACGCTTTGTATTACTATTTATAAAATAGCATACGAAATTTATCGGTTTTAGCTGTCCAAATAAAGGAGTTTTACAGTTAAACCCCATATCTGAACAATCAGTTTTTTGGAGGCAATAAATAGGTTATAGTGACCTGATCTTTGTTAATTTTGCTGTAAACTTTCTGTTGACAATGAGTGAAAATAATGCGAAATGTCATGTTTCTAGCTGCATATATGGAGAAGTTATAACAAAGAATCTCATATCTGAACAATCCGTTGTATGGGAGATATATGTTATTGTGCGCCGATATTTGTTATTTTCACTGTATGTATTCTGTCAATAATGAGTGAAAACGGTGCGAAGACAGAGGTGGCGCAATCAGCAGTAACGCTACTTTTTTTCTTGGCGAATTTGACAGAATCAGCTGTTCGTGTGACGTCATTTTAGCAAACTGTTCGTATGTATGCAGAGATGTTTATATGTATGTAAATATGGCGACCTCCATGGTTTGACAGTTAACACACTTTCTCTCCTCCATCTCCAATTATTCTTTCTAAAAATTTCTTGTGTTTTTAGTTGCTACCAGATTTTTCGTTTTTACACAGTTCTTGCACAAAATGTCTAAACAAGTGTAGTTCACGCATGTTCTAAAATTCTTCCAAGTGGAAGTGACTCAAGTTCACTTTGAACATAAATTTTGGTGTTCTGTATTTCTCGGTTTTCATGTCAATTGCACTTTCACTCTGTAAATAAATCAGTTTCGGCACATGGAAGAGTGTTCGGGATACCAATATTCTGGAAAGCCCCTTATATTCACATTTGTATGGATCAAGATATTTTTATATGGCTTTTAGACAAATATTTTACTCCAGTTGTGTAAAATATTGAAAATGTTAAACGAAAGAGAATTAAGAAACTTTTAGTTTCAACGCTCAGAATATTTTTCAGGTGTTTAAAAATTAAATTCAATTAAAACTTTATAATAGGTTAAATTAACTATAATAATATAGGTACCAATCGAAATGGGTTTTAAAAGGCTTTATTTCTAAACTACATGTAGGAGGGAATTAGGTAATTGAAGAATGTATCAGAATATGGATGTCAGGTAAAAGAGGTTTAAGAAGATCAGAGTTTTAAAATATGCTAAAGAGTTAAAAATAGTGAAAATCTCTTATGCTTTTGGTTGAGTTGAGGAATATTGGGTTTTAAAGAAATAAACAGCACGAACGTATTTCACACACTCAGCGAAGCGGGTGAGGGCAAAGTAGTTCACAAAATAAAACACAATTAATTTTCTAGTTTCTATATATTTATTTTGTAAAGTTTTGATAATTTGTTTTGCAACATTTTTGGTTCAAATGTATTGCGAAACCCAAATATGTATGTAGGTTTTCCGGACATGTTTTTGCTTTTTATAAGTTGAATGTATTAATTTTGTGTGTAAATATGTACATACATATGTATATGTGTATGAATATAATTTATAAACAACGCTAAAAAGTAGATATGATTAGGTTTACGATATTTTATGAATTTTGAAAGAAGTCTACAAAGAACAGGGGAAAGTTCCGAATGCTTTGTGATCGATTATATTTTATTCATAAATGCAATTCTTTCAATATTTTTTATCACTACATATTTAAATAAATGTTCCTTTTTTACTAAGCCTAAGTTTTCGGTATATGAGTTTGACTTTTTTCGAAAAGTTGTTGACTAATTGTACATACATTTTACATTTCTAAAATATATCTCTTTGATAAATACATACATACATATGTTTTGGTCCTTTTTTCTAAATAATTTCACTTAAAATTATTGTTTTAATTATTGTATTTAAAGTTAAATTAAAATGCAAGAAGTTGCAACATACATATTCGTGTATGAACATATGTATGTAAGTAACTACTTTTGTCCTCATAATCTCGATTTTTCAACATTTCTCAAGAAGTTTTGCTACCTTTATAGTATTATCTTATTATTATTTAAATAATCGATATGGTTTGCTCTTGCATATCATCTCTTATTGTTTCATAAATTCTACATTTTTCTTTGAATTTTTTAAGTAAATTGCACACTTAAATACGAGTATGTATGTTGTATTTCTCTTCGTCTCAATAAATCTAAGAAAGTTTATTTGTATGTATGTAATTTTGTTTGGTATTTGCCCACTCTTTTTGACATGATGATGCGTGTAGTATGTAAGTGTGTACGTTTACGTTTGATATGCCTTAGAAGATGAAAAGTCTAAATTCTATGTGATACGAGTAATTTTCGCTATTGTCAATATTTTCCTTCATTCACGCTTCCAGAATTTTACTTTCTTACGTTTTATTTTCATCATGCCCACCTTTTTCTTGCTCTTCCTAGCACCCCTCATGCGTCTCGGCCAATTTCAAGGGGTTACATAGAATATGGGTGGATGCCACCCACGGTAGGCCGCGTTTTAGAAACCATTGTAGTATCGACCCCTTGGTCGCACAATCAATTGATTTTCGCTGAAGTCACTGTACTCATCTGAATCCTCGTAGATGCTCTTCAACGAACCGGGGAAGGGTGTGGCACGTTCTGCGCTATACGAATTGAAATCCTCATCGCTATTCTCGAACGGATCGACGGCTACATAGGAAGCGGAGAAACCTTTCATGGTGACAGTGTCATCAGTTTTAAATCTCACCAGCAGGGAGTCGGTCAGTGAAATAATGTCTTGAGGGAGCTGAAAATAGAAAATTTATAATGCACACACGCACGCATGAATATATACATATGTATGTAGTTCGTTTTGCTGACCAACAACAAGTACTGCTCAAAATATTGTAAGCAATTCCGAAAATTAACTTACCGTATTGCCACAATATTGCCCATACATAGGACCACTTGTGTCCTCCATGCCCGAGTACACCTGCACATAGTCATAGGTGCAATTTTCGCTGGCCTCAATGTCGAAAGTTAGGAAGAGTAGCTGCACATTGCTGCTTGCCGGCGCTTGAATCGTCCATTCACAGTCCATATTCTCATTGTAGTTGCGGTTGCCGAAGAGCGCATGCGAATAGAATTGCTGTATTTGATTTGTGGCACGCAAATAACCGCCGCACGCTGCATAAACGAAACAAATACAAATTTACTTAGATGTGATAATGAATTACAATGTGTAAGAGTGGAATTAACTTTTAGCTAACTTAGGTTAATTCCCAAAACTGTGTTAAACATTTTTCTAACGCTTTAAGGCTGCTTTTGACCATACCATATTTTGACGACTTCTTTGTTCTTGCTCTTCTTTATCCATGCCAGCCTTCGGACTTTGCTATGATCAAAGTAGATCTACTTTGCTTTTTGGGAAATTCTAGAACATTTTGCTCTACTCTGTTCGACTTAAAATGTACTCAGATTTGTTATGATTATCATACTGGAGATAGGAGGCGTATCGATCGTGCTGACCTCCTTTTACATGCAATATGAGGCGGAGAATTTTCTGCAATCTCTGTTGTGTAGGCTGGGGAATGAACACAGCACAGGTTTGTTCTAATCGGAGGTGATCTTCACGCTTAACACGTACAGTGGAGGAGCTCGAACATCAATAGCCGAAGTGAGTCTCTTTTTAGCTAACTCTTAACAACTAATCTTATGATATTTAATAGGATTTCAGAAGTTACTTTTTTTGAGAAAAGCAGTCAGGAGGTCATAGACTAGGTACATAAATACAATATTTTTCATATGGTTAAAATCTGAAGAGTTCTTAACGAACACTTTCTTTCCAACCATAGATATGTTGAGATGATTCTAGACTTTTCCCTAACTGCACCGAAATCTGAAAGAACCTGAGGAATACAGACTAGGGAGTCTATAAAGAGAGCGAAAAATGACACTGAAGATGTTAAGAGGGATCACGCCAAACGTCGGCAAGAACTCGGCTTACAGATAAAAATGTGACAAGAGGCACACCGCAGGGTGCCACTCCTTTGGAACTTACCCGTGAACTTTCTCTTGCGAGAGATGAACTGCGGAAGCCACAAGGTTGTCGCTTATGCGGAGGACGTAGCCATCGCGTATAGGGCCAAGTCTCCTCAAACTTTGTGCGACTTGACAGGAAGGAGAACATAGTCCAGGTATATGAGGGGGCCCTATATTCGTGCAAGATGGGGGTTGAGCCCAAGTATATGCACCGGTGGTTAGACCGATTCTCATTTACGGAATTATAGTATGGTGGCCTGCCTTCGACAAGGCCTATAACCTTTATCTACTCAGCAAAGTATAGAGGATTAGTATGGTCTGCATCAGCAGAGCAATCCGAAGAACAACAAATGACGCTTTAAATGCATTTTTGGATTTTCGGCCACTAGATCTAATGAGAATCAGGATTGCTGGGTTCCTCCTAGATTCTGGAAAAATATAGCTTTCTTATGGATTATAAAGACCGTTGTTCCGGTTACGGATATAAACTTCAAGCAGGGAGGAATTGGTAGGAAACTACCATACTCCACCCGGTAGTATAGAAATTTTCACAGATGGATCAAAAATTAACTGTGAAGTGGGAGGGGAACTTTTATCTCGCATCTCTGCCCTGAGATGCTCATGTCGACAACCGGCCTACTGTAGTGTCTTCCAGGCTAAAGTCTCAGCTGTAATGGAGGCTGTAAATGAACTTCGTACTGATTTCATCTTTAGCTGTTAGTTCCGTCACAATAAGGGAATCCAATCCCGCGAATGCAGGATCCCGCAAACGCGGGATCCCGAGCTATTTTTACGGCATTAGAAATGAGGGATTACACATGCGGGATCCGCGGGATTTGCGGAACTACAAAAAAAAATTAAAAAGACGAATGCGAGTTGTGAAGGTGCTCGCCAAAATGTTCGTCATGCATGGCTGTATATACGTTATGTTCTTTGTTAAGGTACAAGAATTACATAAGGAACATACATTTAATACATATCACCCAGTATATAATTTTAGGTGTTAAAAGCCCTTCCTGAGAGTCATGAAGTCTTCCACTCTCCATTCTTTCCTCCTTTTTTGTGTGGATTGTCATCAAATGATGGGCGTCTTCTTTCGCTACCCATAGAAGGTCTTCCAGAAGGGCTTTCAAAAGGCATACTTCAGAAGGCCTTTTGGAGGGGTTCATTGAGTCTTCCAATGTGTTTTGGAAGTAGAGGCAAATCTTGACGGGACGGAAAAAACGCGTTCAGCGACAACAAAAACCTATAAAAGATCTGGTCTGGTTTTATTAACCTTTCATAGCCTTGATAACTAGCTTAAACTTTGTACACTTGCCGATTTAGGAACACATTATACATGTGTAGCACAATGCGTTTCTATCGATAAATAAGTGTGCGAGCGTAAAAATTAATTTTTTTCCTTGAGCTTCCTTTCAGATGCTAAATTTCGAATACTCATAACCAGGGAACGGAGTTTTAGGACCTAAAAACCTATAAAACGACAAAATAAAATAATCAAATAGGCTGGAAAAGGCAAAATAAAATAGCGAAATAGGCAGTGAAAGGAAATAGAAGTAGCAAAAAAGGCAAAAGAAGGCACGAAAAAAGGAAAACAACTGAAAAACAACACTGGTTTAGAGGAAAAATATTCAACGGACGCCACTATCCAATTCCTATATATATACTATATGTAGAATTGCTCGCTGATTCCGAAAATCGAGTTAATTTTTAATTCTCTAGATAAGTTTCACATATTTTCAGGTATACATGGCGTATGAGTAACATTCTTTGCAGCTCATTTTTCATAAAAAAAAGTCTTTGCACATTTTCATATGACCACTTATTACTTCTTTATTTACCCATCGATTCTTCATTATCAACTTGATTTTTTTGTAACAGAACAGACTTAACACAGCTTTGAATGTACTTAATCACTTTTTTAAAGGTACAGTGGTCAAAAGGCAACATCAAATGTGTATACATAATTGGAATCTGGGAAAGCTAAATCGTAGACGTTCTTAATGAAATATACTCTATATGCTGCTCATAACTCCGGTTCTATTAAAAGCACACATAACGCTCTGGTGTAATTTTCAAGACAATGTTATGTATAATATATTACTTTATCGCCATTTTCAAATATCAAACGGTAAAAAAGTTACGCGGAAAACAGGAAAACTTAGTTAAATCTGAATAATCCAGAGTCACTGATGTTTTGGCTTGCTTTGGGATTACAGCGAGCGGATATTGTTTCCGATCGGATAAAACACTACAGTAACTCTGATTATGATATATTTTCTTCTGAAAAATACCGAACCGATATAGCGATTTTGATCATATACTTATGAAACTATGCATAATCACCAAAATCAAATATGCTAAAAATAAGATCG